CCGGGGCCGCCGGTTAAAGGCTGAGCTGGGGCCGTGTGAGGGACACGGCTCAGCGATCGCTCCCTATCCCCGGCAGGATCCGGTCCCACAGGGCAAGGACGCAGCAGCATGCCTCGGCCCCGCGGGAGCCGTCGCCCTCTTCTGTAATGAACTTTCCAGCGAGGCTGTTGTCTAGCTGTAGGGTCAGGATGCTGCCGCAGCCCTGGCGTCTCTGCTCCCGGGCTGCCGAGGACGTGGCGTGGCAGAGGATCCGGAAGGTCCTGTGCGTAGCCGAGAAGAACGATGCTGCCCGAGGGATTGCGGATCTGCTCTCCAACAGCAGAATGCGACGGGTAGGAATACACCACATCTCTGTAACTACTTCCTGATAGGCACACAGGTCTGGCTTAGCCGGCTGGAGAGGGTCAGCTCACCAAGGCCACTGCCCAGCACAGTCATGGTCTTGGGTGTAGTATGCGTCTTGTGCAGTAGCCCCAGCCCGCTCTGCAGAGCTTGGCAGGAGTGGTTTGCATCGGCAGCTGCTACATCTTGCGCTGGTTTTGTCTCTGGCCACTTCTGACTGCGCAAGGGTACAAGAATGGCTTGCTTTTGTGGACAAACACTGCTTGCCCAAATGTATTTGGGAGTCATGCCCCCCTTTTCCTTGTGACTTAAGTTCTGTTGGAATTTAGCTTCCCAGCTGTGCTCCCTCTGCCCAGACAGCCTTCTCTGGGCACTGAGCTCCGTGGTGAGGGCTCCCTGTGTCGTTCCTTGCTTTGCAGCGTAGGCAAAAGGCTTCAGGAACTGAAACCATCTGTTGGCATGCGTTTCCCTATCAAAAAGCACCACTCCTGCAGCGTCAGCAAGTGTCAGGGGTTTACTGAAGTTCACATAATAAAGCAAAGATGGTCTGTGGTTTGGAGAAGAGCTGCTTTGTTTTGTGACCTTTAATGGTTTGCATAATTACTTGGTATTTCCAAGCTAAGGATCTAGGAGATGCTTCTGGACAAGAACTATATTTGAATGAAGGGGTTATTGAGAACCTGAGTGCTGACAGCCCCAATCAAGGAAGATCTCATCCCGCTTCTGTAGAAAAAGCAGCAAATACCCAATCTAGAAACTTCCACGAGTCTGAACTAGGTGGAGGGTACTCCTGGGGACCCGGAGCTGGCATGCTAATTGCCATTTGGAGCAGGACAGTTGTTTGTCAGGATACTGTTTGTTGTCACTATTGATGGGGAGATAACCCTGGCATCCCTTTCAAGCATGGTATAAAATCCTCTCACGTTGGAAAGCGCCATTTCAGCATCTCTGTAAATGATACAGGCAATTTCCATTCACCCTACCTTGCCTTTCTGTTTTGGCTGCAGTATCTGGTTTTCTCTTGCCCCATGCTTCTCTGCTGCTCTGCCACAACAGCGTGTCTAAAGCGAGGCAGAACGTGTTTGGTTTCTGTTAGGAGGCAGAATCTCAGCAACTTTCCTTTTCCTTCTAGCGAGAAGGGTTTTCCAAGTTCAACAAGATCTACGAATATGACTACCAGATGTTTGGCCAGGTAGAGTTTTCTTTTGTTCTACTGCTGGATTAGAGAAGTGCAAAATACTAATTATTAAAAGCCATTTGTCAGAAGTTATGAAACGCACATCCAGTGACGGGGACATTTTGTCCAAAGATGAGGAAGAGTCAGATGTTCTTTTCTTGGCTCAACCACTGACTTATTTTGTTGCTTTAAGTCTTTCAACATTTTGGTTTTATATCAATGAAAAATACGTTGCTATTTAGAATCAAGAGCTTCTTACAGAAATTGAGGATAAGGCCACAGATTGAGCTGTCAGTAGAGAGAAGAGCTTGTTATGATATATTAGCAGGAAGGAGGTGTCACTGATTATGTAAACTGACAGCAGCATCAAGATCTCGGGGCTCTGCATAGTTTGTAGTGAGCGATGGGCACTAATTACCTTGCTCTGTCTCTTGCAGAATGTTACTATGGTGATGACATCCGTGTCAGGACACTTACTGGCGCATGATTTTAAGCTTCCGTTTCGCAAATGGTTGGTACTTGGTACCCCCTCATGGGGAGGAGCGCTGTCATCTTCCGCTTTCAACCCTGAGCTGAGCGGGGCACTGAGAATTCAAAGACTTTGGGAGTGGGGAGGGACTCTGACACCGCATGCAGAGCAGGGTGATGAGTACCAAATTTTATATAGAATAGCTAAAATATCATTTCAAGTTACTGTCTTCAGAGCGCTAAAAAAGCCTGAAGTCATAATGCTGGTTAAAATGCGTTAAGGCAGACCCAAGGAATTACACTGATTCCAAACCTAGATTGATGTTTTTGTGTTCTTTCTTCAACTAGTTGTTGTCCTGGGAAGCAAGGCACTTTCTCTGTCTTCCCTCCCCTTTGTTCTCTGTGCTTGAAATAAGAGAAGTCGCTTGTTTAGGGCTGCCTTCCAGATTTGCTGTTTTCTCTGGTTGCTTTTTGGTTCTGTTGCTTTTAGGTGTAACTCAGCATTTCACGTGAACTCTTAAGTTGTCCAAGACGAGGCCCATAATAAAATATATTATTAATTCTAGTACTTGAACAACACTTCCTCACGAGACAGCACCAGTTAGTGTCTCACAACATATGTTTTAGATTTTGTTACACACGCTATTTATCCTCTGTTTACCAGGCATAGCTGCAACCCTCTAGCTCTTTTTGACGCTGAAATTGAGAAGTATTGCCCTGAAAATTACGTGGATATCAAGGTAAGTTGTTTTTAAGAGTTTCCCTGAAAGAGGTTAGTTCTACAAATATTGTCTGAGACAGAAGGAGGATTGTACCTTTGTCCTTGATGTCTAAATTCTGGAGTCTAGCAAATTCCTCCTGCGTTTCCTAGAACTAAATACACTGTTAATTTCTGATATTGAAAGTCTCCTGCTCATGTAGGATTAGTGCAGTAAAGGAACAGCTACTCTGCTAAAAGAAGAAATGTTTTTTCCGACAAGGTGGAATTGGTAATTGCGTCTCAATTTTTTAAAAAATGAGAAAACATTTTCAGAAAACAGATTGTGGTACAATCTGATCCAAGCCATGCTTTTTAACAGAGTTAGATGTAAATAAATGACTCAATTCTTTTGAAAGCTGCCTAATCTCATGAGAGACAGAATTACAAAATGTTATTGCAACAATCCATCTCTATGGATACATGTTGCATTTCATGTTCAGTTAGTGAGTCATTCTAAAATGAAATGACAAAGCAAGTGGCCTGGTATGTCTCACTCTGCGTTGTTTTCTCGTCTCAGCGAACCCTTGAACGAGAAGTCCAGCAGTGCCAAGCTCTGGTGATCTGGACTGACTGCGATCGAGAAGGAGAGAACATTGGCTTTGAGATAATTCACGTTTGCAAAGCTGGTGCGTAGAGCATCTTCTGCATCAGTCTGTGTTCCAATAAAGCGCTGATTTAACAGGTATCGCTGCTCAGAGATCTTGTAACAGAGGCACATTCTCAATCTTACCATGTCCAGGTTAAATATATTGACTGTAGTTCTGATAAATAAGTGCCTCTGATACACCAGATATATGTTCAGCTATTGGAAAGCTATAGAATAGGTTGACAGCATACTCTTTCCAAGATAGCTGTTAATTAGTTGCTCCTTTCTGTTGGTGTTTGAGTCGCTCTTTGATTTCTTCTTTTTTGTGGGTGTGTGTGTCTGACAGTAAAGCCAAACCTCCGAGTTTTCCGAGCCCGTTTTTCAGAGATTACACTTCATGCTGTCAGAACGGCCTGCGAGAACCTCACCCAACCAGATCAAAAAACGAGTGATGCCGTTGACGTCAGGCAGGAGCTGGACCTCAGGATAGGTATGTAAACGCGCTGGAGGCAAGAGCAGGCTGCTTGGCCTGAGCTGCTGCATACATCTCGACTAAAGGGAAGTGAGCAAGAGTGTGGTAGGTAGGCAGGGAACAGCTTTTTTATCAGCGAGCAGCTTATTGTCTGTAAATACTGGAACTCCCTTAGACTTGTGCAAATAAGAGCCATCCATCAGGCTCTTCCTCGCTTCTCGCCTAACCACATTGAATGCACATTTTTACAGCCCAGCACGGGGTGTTTAGAAATCATCTGTTACTGTTTCCTCAACACAAGACAGAAACGCCCTCTCTATAGTGCCGTAAATTGGATTTTTAGATCAGGTACAACCAAATCACATCTTGTGTTTTACTGGAAGCGTGCTCTTTGAAGCAAACGTTAGGTTTATAGCTCATGCAGCAGTGACTGGCTTCTGCAACTTTTAGGGTTAAAGTTAGAGTAAAATTAGTACTTGGAATATTAAAAAGAACCATCTGAAGTGTTGTGATTATCCTCCAATGTTGTATTATTCAATTCTGCTGTCTGTTTTATTTTCTCAGGCGCTGCCTTCACCAGATTCCAGACACTGAGGCTCCGGAAGATCTTCCCTGACATTTTAGCAGATCAGCTGATCAGCTACGGTAGCTGCCAGTTCCCAACGCTGGGGTTTGTAGTTGAACGCTTTAAAGCCATCCAGGCGTTTGTTCCTGAAGCCTTCTATAAAATAAAAGGTATGCTTGGGGAAAGCAAGTCCTGGGCTCCAGGTTAAAGGCCTTGACATGTTTAGAAAGGAAAAACTCAAGACAACAAAAAAACAGTGGCTCCCTCTTCCTTTGCCATGACCACTAAGTAAAACCTAAAGGTTTCTTAGTAGTGGCCCCACTGTCTCTGCTGTATTTCCATTGTATTAGTACTGTATCACTCAGATGTGTTGTTCAACACAGTGACACATGATCATGAAGAGGGCAGTGTGGTCTTCAACTGGAAGAGGAACCGGCTCTTTAATCACACAGCGTGCCTGGTCCTTTACCAGATGTGTATGGAGGTAGGAAAGCTTCTAAATAGTTGTATAATCCAGTATCAGCCAAATGTTTCGTGCATCTGTCTCACTCAAGATGTTTAAAGAACAGTTTGTGTAAACTCTTAAGGGGACTTCGCGTTTTGCTTACTCTGTGTTTAGGATCCAGTAGCAACTGTTGTTGAGGTTGGGAGCAAGCCAAAGAGCAAATGGAGGCCCCTGCCCCTGGACACTGTGGTACGTTTGAACTACGCTAAAAGGATTTATCTGAAAGAAGCTTTGAACAGATGTTTTACTCACCGCTCTGAATTATGTACAAACACATTTTTTTTCTGGCTCCTCCCAACACAGGAACTTGAGAAGTTGGCTTCCCGCAAACTGAAAATAAACGCAAAGGAAACCATGAGAATAGCAGAAAAACTCTATACTCAAGGGTAAGAAAGCAAGACTTGGCTTGGTAAATGTAATTCTTTCCAAAATAAATGGCCTTTAGTCCCAAATGGGAAGCACCTTGGAGCACCTTGTACTGTGCTTTTCTGTCTGTCTTCTTAAGGTTCATTAGCTACCCCCGAACTGAGACCAACATTTTCCCCAAGGAGCTGAACCTCTCTGCCTTAGTACAACAGCAAACACAGGATCCGAACTGGGGAGCATTTGCACAGAGAATTTTGGATCAGGGTGGGCCAACCCCTCGGAGTGGAACGAAATCAGATCAGGCTCACCCTCCCATTCACCCCACAAAATACGCTGCTAACCTGCAGGTGAGTTTTAACAAAGGCAGAGGTAACTGCCTGGCTTGTATTGCTTGATAAATAGAGATAGAAGTCTTAATAATATGGTCATTAGCACAGTATCCTCACCCGAGATGATCGCACTAATATTTCTTGAAATCTCATGAACACAGGAGGACACTGATCCTTTTCTCCTGTTTGATATTAGGGCAATGAGCAGAGACTATATGAATTCATCGTGCGCCATTTTTTGGCTTGCTGCTCTCAAGATGCCAAGGGACAGGAAACAACTGTGGAGATCGACATTGCTAATGAGCGATTCATAGCTCAAGGACTAATGATCCTGGCCCGAAATTATCTGGAAGTCTATCCTTATGAGAAGTGGAGCGATAAGGTAATACTCTTGAATAACATAGATGGGAGAGGCTAAAGTACCCAGAGTTTAAAACAGCGCTTCACTGCCAACTTCAGACCCCTCTGCAGAACGTCCTTTGACAATTCCTGGCCCACTGGCTTTCACTCAGAGCCACCTCTGCTGAAAAATCATGCAGCTTTATTGTGCCAGCTTTGAATAGATTCTTCCCCTTCTGACACCACAGCAGAGACCATATAGGGCTGTGTGATTGACTTTACTCTCCAGGAGGAGCTGCAATTGCTATTCCATGGTCTCTCTGGCAGCTCATTACTGGCTGATCCTGAGGACCCTGAGTCTGGATCTCCTCCAGAACAGGGTGCTGCTCTGTTACTGCACTGACCTGCTGTTAGCGTGACATCTTGTCTTCAGTGAATGGACCAGAAGGCAGTTTCAAAGAGATTCTCCTTCCCTTCAGGTTATCCCACTGTATCAGAAAGGGTCTCGCTTTCAGCCCACTACAGTGGAGATGGTGGATGGGGAAACCAGCCCTCCATTGCTCCTCACAGAAGCGGATCTCATTGCTCTCATGGAGAAACATGGCATTGGTCAGTATTGGCAGCGTGGCCTCTCGATCTTGGGAGAGCTTTGTTCATAAGCTTCTTCTCAGCTTCTCTAACACCAGTTCTGACCCACCCTCAGAGTAGGGAATTCTCTAAATGTCACTTCAGATAAGAAATCACTTAAATGTACAGAACGAAGGCACAGTAGGGACCTGTGGGCAAAGTCCAAAGATCCTAAGGAGTCTGCAGCATGCCTCCAGTACCTAGGGAGATGTGCCATTTAGGGTCCAGGGGGTGCCTGCCAGCACCTTGCTGGCCTCGGTGCCAGTGGGACATGAGGGCAGTGCTGCTCCTGACCATAAGTTGTCTCCTTGTCTGTTTAGCACCTTGCACTCTGCACTAAGGCACAGGGGAAATCGCTTCTTGGCACCTCATTCAACTAACAACCTGTCTGCTTTTAGGGACTGACGCCACTCACGCTGAGCACATTGAGACAATTAAGACGCGACTGTATGTGGGCCTTACAGCAGATCAGCGGTTCCTCCCGGGCCACCTGGGCATGGGGCTGGTTGAAGGTAAGGGTAGTGCCCATTAGGAAGATGGCAGATTCCTTACTTGCTCCTTCCTTTCGCTTACCATGCAGTATGTTCCTCAGGTTATGATTCCATGGGCTACGAGATGTCCAAGCCTGACCTTCGAGCTGAGCTGGAGGCTGATCTGAAACTGATATGTGAGGGGAAGAAAGACAAATCTGCAGTGTTGCAACAGCAGGTCCAAAAGTACAAGCAAGTCTTCATCGAAGCTGTGGCCAGAGCTAACAAGTGAGTTCTGTCTTTGCCCTCTTCTGTTTCGCTTTGCTGTTCTGGGAGATGCTGGCTGTTCATCTGGGGCTCGGCCTGGAGTGGAATCCTGCCGCACCGTTTCCCTGGAGCTCTGCCTAGTGTGTGTAGGCATTTGCATGGGAAGGGATGACTCACAGCCTGGCACACTGTCATGAGTTGGTGCCAACTAACTGCTCATCTCGGTTTAAACCCTTAAGACTAAACTCAGAGCTGGCTGAATGAGATGGCAACATGCACTGACCTCTTCCATGTTGTACCCACACCTAGCCTGTTCAGAGGTGTGGTGCTGAATCAACATTCTTGTGGAGAAGCTCAGGGGAGCTGTATGGAGGACGGCAGGCGCCAATTCACTGCCGTGTGCGATTGCTCTTTGCGGAGGAGACACACAGCATGGCTCTGCGTGTTTCTTTATAGGTTGGACCAGGCCCTGGCTCAGTATTTTGGAGAAGCCACAGAAATTGCAGAGCAAGAAGAGGTCTACCCAGCAATGCCCGTTTCTGTTCGGAAGTGTCCACAGTGCCACAATGACATGGTCCTGAAGACCAAGAAGAACGGCGGGTTGGTGATCTTCCCTGTTGTAGAAAGTAGCCTTCTTTTCTAGGCGTTGTTCATTTACCTCCCCTCTGCAGCAAGCATGAAAACTTGGGCTGCAACTAGCTAACTCCACCAGCTGCATAAAGCTGTGTGGACTCAGCTGAACCTCCCTCTCAAGTACGTATTTGCCCTTAGAATTTGTTGTTTTCACAGTTTCTGATGGCTGAGAAAACACGAGAACAGATCACTGACTGTTTTGACTTTGCCTCTTCCTCACCTGGTGCCTTTGTCCCACAACAGGTTCTATCTTAGCTGCACAGGCTATCCAGCTTGTAAAACTGCAGTCTGGTTTCCTGATTTCGTGCTGGACGTGGCCAGGGACGAGAGCATCTGTGATGTGTGTAAACCACATCCAGTTCACAGGTAGGTCATACCAGTTACCCCTTGGGAAGATGCAGCTCCTCAGACATTACATGTTAGCCAGAGACTTCTGGGGGCTAAGCTGGGCAACCATTTTATGTTCCAGTCTTGGAAAGCTGAAGCAGCACTCTCATGGCTTGGGGATAGAAAAAAAGAGGGGATGGGGAAACCGGTGTAAGCATAGCAGAATTAAAAAAAAAAAAAAAAAAAAAAA